CATTGCTGGCTTCAAATATTGAGCTTGTGACACTTGGGTAAATCATCAAGGACTCTGGTGTACTAATCATTGTGCTTTGTGTATCCTCATAAGTAGAAGAGGGGACCATTTCATCCGTGATGTTGTAGAGAGTACTGTTGGCATCTTCGAAAAATGATTTTGTTGTACTAGACTGAATTAAAAAGGATTCTTGTGTACTTATAATTGTACTATTTATGTCAAAATAATCAGAAGTGGTGGCTGTTACTTCAACAAAACTAGGTTCTGATACATTGTAAAGTGTACTGTTAACCTCTTCAAGAATGGAATTTGTAGTACTGAAATAATTTACAACTGTTTCGTGTGTACTGAAATAGGTACTGTTAACATCAGAACTGCTGGCTAGTATATCAGTAACGTTGAAGTCAGGAAGGTTGTAGGTTGAGCTGTTGGTGTCTTCCAGCATGGTTGTTGTTGTAGGTTGTATGGTAGTATGCTCAGGTTGATAGAACATGGTGCTGTTTAAGTTTTCATATGGAGAATACCCCATAGTACTCTCAATAACAAATGATCCAGATTCATTATACACGGTGCTAAAAATAGTGTGTGTGGCCTGGATTGACACTGCTGTTCCATTAAACATAGAGGATAAATCAAACAGTATTGAGTCTGTAGCAATGGTTACTGTGCTGCTGATATTATAATAAACTGAGTCTTGAAATGCTGGTTCCAAAGAGGTGTGGAGGGATTCATTGTAGAGACCACTGCTGAAGTTTATATCAGTGGTGGGTGTGGCTTGAGATTCATTGTACTGACCACTACTGAAGCTTAAATCTAAAGTGGGTGTGGCTTGGGATTCATTGTACAGGCCACTACTAAAGCTTATATCCATGGTGGGTGTGGCTTGAGATTCATTGTACTGACTACTGCTGAAGCTTATTTCCATGGTGGGTGTGGCTTGGGATTCATTGTACTGACCACTACTAAAGCCTACTTCCATTGAGGGTGTGGCTTGGGATTCATTGTACTGACCACTACTAAAGCCTACTTCCATTGAGGGTGTGGCTTGAGATTCATTGTACTGACCACTGCTGAAGCTTATATCCATGGTGGGTGTGGCTTGAGATTCATTGTACTGACCACTACTGAAGCTTAAATCTAAAGTGGGTGTGGCTTGGGATTCATTGTACAGGCCACTGCTGAAGCTTATAACCATGGTGGGTGTGGCTTGAGATTCATTGTACTGACCACTGCTGAAGCTTATATCCATGGTGGGTGTGGCTTGGGATTCATTGTACTGACCACTACTGAAGCTTAAATATAAAGTGGGTGTGGCTTGGGATTCATTGTACAGGCCACTGCTGAAGCTTATATCCATGGTGGGTGTGGCTTGAGATTCATTGTACTGACCACTGCTGAAGCTTATTTCCATGGTGGGCGTGGCTTGAGATTCATTGTACTGACCACTGCTGAAGTTTATATCTGAAGTGGGTGTGGCTTGAGATTCATTGTACTGACCACTACTGAAGCTTATATCCATGGTGGGTGTGGCTTGAGATTCATTGTACTGACCACTGCTGAAGCTTATATCCATGGTCGGTGTGGCTTGAGATTCATTGTACTGACCACTGCTGAAGCTTATATCCATTGTGGGTGTGGCCAGAGATTCATTGTACTGACCACTGCTGAAGCTTGTATCAAGAGTGGGTGTGGCTGAGTAGTCAAGGTACATCGAGTCAGTAGCATTAAACAAGTTACTGCTTACACTGTCTGTAGACAAAGGTTGTGATCCTGGTGTTGACCAGAGTGTGTAGCTCTCTGGTACAACTTCATAGTCAACTGTGCTGTTTGAATCTAACAAGGGGACTGAACTTATGAATATGTGAGTTACTGGACTTGACTGTGTAGTAACAGTATAGTTATCTTCAAATGGAAGGGTAATATTTTCAAGTGAAACTGATACTGAACTGAAGACATAGGTTGGAGTTATACCTTGGGTTGAAAATGGTTCTTCAGAGATATGAGAAAAGTTAAACAGAGATGTTGATACTATTTCTAGATATTCCGTATTGGTGGCAACTATGGGTGTTACATAATGTGACTCAAATGATTCTTGTGACAAATTAAATGACATATCACTTGTATGACTGCTTTCTGCGACTGTATAAGTTGAGAAATCAGCATTGCTTCCATTTACGAACATTGTGTGCAAGTCTGAAGAAACTTCAGCTGATCCCACCATGCTTATGTTCACATCTAGGCTAGATGGTGTCACAAAGTATACAGAATAATTGGAACTCTCTAGTGTTGGGAAAGATGTTTCAACCCAAATTCGAAAACTCTTGTCTAAGGAATCAGAAACTTCTGAATACAAAGTTGACACTTGGAGAATCTCGCCAAATGTTGATTGTACCATTATGGAGTCTGTTTCTGAAATATTCATACCCAAGGTAGGGTCACTGGTTGTAAAATAATCTGATGCTTTAGATGTTGGTATCTGCATCTCAAGAGTTGAATTCGAATCAAAAATTTCATGAAAAGATGATTCTGGTTTTGTGTAACTATCTGATTCGTAATAGAAATGTGATGAGGTTTGTATGATGGTTTCTGATACAATCACTGATTCAGGTAAAGGTAAGCTTGATGAGTGACCATAACTAGAATCATTCAAGGCATCATAGGAGTCAGTTAATGCATACGTAAAAGATTCGGTTAATGATGGTGTTAAATTTAATGAGTAGACACTTGTACCATCAATACTTGAGCTAACAATATAATCAACTTCTGAGTAGTGTGAAATTTTAGACTCATCTGTAATAGTTAGTAGCGGTGTGTGCAATTCTGTTGTAACTAATGATTCTTGTAGTAGGGATAAACTATCTGATAAGTTTGTATATGACTGGGTACTTGTTGTTTCTATATCTGAGATGACTTTGGTTGTGTCCAAGTTTGGGGTCAAGCTTTCAGCGTACAATGAGGGCGTGGTCACAACAAGGTCCACAAGGGAGGACGAGCTGTCTGGACGGGTCAGAAATGAGTCCAGGGTGGCTGACCCATAGACAGTTGTGGTGTTGATACCCGGCCAAGTGTCCGTGCTGGGGTAGCTGGACATGGAGGGGGAATCTGTGTAGAGTGTCCCAGTGTAGTGTTCATCTATAAGGGAAATGGTCTGTGTGTCCATAAGGTTTAAACTTGAAACTTCTGAAATGGGTGTTGTCAGTAATACCGAACTGACCAAAGGATTAATCTCCGGTGTGTACTCCGATGCTTTGCTTTGGTCTATTATGCCAGAGTATGTAGATAACAAAACCAAACTTTCAAGTTGAGCACCTGAGTAGCTATAAGATGAACCCAAATCAGTTAGAGTAGCTGCCCCTGGGTACACAGGAAATGTAGTGTCACTAGCACTTTCATAGTAAGTGGATTGGTAGTGTGAGGCAACTGATGTCCCTTCTTCAGTTGATAATGAAGGATAGCCACCCTCTGAGTAGGACGAGAACACGCCTGTGGGTGACTGTTGTTGGGTCAGCATCCCAGGTGATGTTTCCACATTGCCAGAGACGACAGGTGAGCTCAGGTAACTAAATTGATAACTGGCACTGACAACAGCTGGATCTAGACCACTGGTCTCAAAACTTGTCGCATATTGAGATTCAACTGAATGTGTTTGAATGGTGACGTCATATATTGTATTGGTATCTATAACATGATCAGTGGATAACCCTGCAAGTTGGGTGCTAGTGACAATCATGCTCAAGTAAGAATCACTGACTGCATGCATGCTTGACAAAAAATCACCGCCTGACTCTGAAAATGGGAACGAGGTTAGTAAAGTAGGGGTCTCAGATGCATACAAGGCAGCCATGTTGCTGGAAGAAACAGATGCAGGCATGCTGGGTACTTGGGCAAGGTCAAGGCTAAAACTCATGCTTGGCTGAGATGACTCTTGAGGTGCTTGAGATGATTCTTCTGTGGCTATCATGCTGGAAAACCCTGAGGATGCTTCTCTGGCAAGAGTATTTTGACTTTCAATTGTTGGGCCAACTTCTGAGCTGCCTGGTGGTAATTCTTTAGATTTGGTATCAATACTTACACTAGAAGCCTGTGGTGAGGTTGTCCAGGATTCAGAGATGGACTCCACTGATTGACTAGGGAGAAGCTGTGTGACATCTGATGAATCTGACTGCAATGGTGTTGGGCTAATCACTTGTGATGACACATCCATGTGTGGAACTACTAGCGAAAAGAAAAATGAGTTTTTTCTTTAAAGATTTTTACATTGGGATTTTATCTGGCAATATAATGTAAACATCTAATACAAATAGATATTCCAATAGCTTAAGACAACACTTAAATTTCTACCAGCATTTAAAACTGAAGATTTTTTAGTAAGGAATATAGAATTATGGTAAAAAATCTACCATCTTGTTTCTATAATATAAATTACTATAAATAACTAGGAAAATGTTAGGAATGCAGTGGGGAAAGAATTCGATTCTTGGAGATTGCTGGAAATTCTTGATATATCATGCTAGAACAAAAATAGTTTTTCTCCTATACAGGCATACCACTGGATTGATTATTGTATCACTTAAAGCGGGAAGACAACAACTATGTGGTTCAATCAGGTTTTTACTTCTACCCGGGGTGTTAAACTACCTCTTTAAGATGGGGACAGTTTAGTTGGGGGATACATATGGTCTTGAGCACATCTACCAAACTCATCTACTCAAACACTTTACCAAAAGACCACACAGGCTCCTAGGCAGTATTTCTTCCAGACTTTTTTCTCCTGGGGGGGGGGGGGGGGGGGCACTTGAAATTTTCCGGGCGGACACTGTTAATAGTATATAGATCTATAAAAAATTCCATTTTGTCCGGGGGAATGGTACACTTTCTTCAGGGAGCCCCCCCCCCCCCCCCCATAGGTGCCTGGAAGAAACTCTGCTCCTAGGAAACAAAATTTATCAATCTTCCAAATAAAAATTACCAGTTACTAACAAACGCTGTTTACATAATGTCTAACAAAGCAAAACATTTTTATAAACCAAACCTGTTGACGAGTCTAACTTGGTTTCTGATGAATATTCACTTAAAACCACTGAACTGGAACTTGAATCAGTTACAACACTAGTGGGATACATCTCAGTTGTGGTGACATCAGACACTTTCAAGGACCCAGGATCAAGAACACTTGAGGATAAGTCTACGGTTGTTAGTAATTCTGTACTGGAAGCAGAACTTTGGGGAAAATTGATCAAAGTTGAGGTAGTAATAACAAATTCAGTTGAACTTGATTGGATTGTAGCTGGTAAGCTTGAATCCTGAACTGATAACATTGACCAATCAGATGCTTTGTTTGTATCTAGTGTTGATGAATCTGACCAATCAGAAGCTTTGATTGCATCTTGTGTTGATGAAGCTGACAAATCAGAAGCTTTGATTGTATCCTGAACTGGTGAATCTGACCAATCAGAGACCACGTAAGTAGATTCTTGTCCTGTATACATTGGTGCTGAAGGCATCTCAGAAGTTTGGAATGTCACAAGTGTGGTCAAAGCTTCCACAGCATTTGTTGATAAGCTTGGAGTTTGAAACTCACTTGATTGCTGAGTTGTGTCAGTAGGTGGAACACTTGAGGCTATTGTCTGTGACGGTGAATCATACAAGATGGATGAAGCATCAACACCTTGTGAAGACTCTATGGAAGAAGTTACCCCATTACTTGAAGAGTCCACGGATAAATTTTCTTGAAGCGCTGAGGATGTAACTGCAGGGGTGGACGAGTCCATGTTTGAAGGGGTGTCAGCGTATGAAAGAACGCTGGTTTGGAATGTGGGGGTGGAGGAAGCGAGTGATTCCTGGGGAATGATGGTCGAAATTTCTGACAACGTCGCCGGACTTGTGGGGTCAACATTTGTTGGCGACGGTGCTGTATCTGATGGTGTTGTGTAAGATGATGCGTCTGTTGCTGCAATGGTGGCTTCGGTGGAAGTGGTTGCTTTCGCCTCTGTGATCGTTTCTGTTCCATTTTGCAAGCTTTCTACTGTGTGAGAATAAAGGAATAATATGAATAGAATACATTCGTATTAAAATTAAAATCTAGTAAAATAAATAAATGAAAAATGTATGCGTCACAGGCATAAGTCATACATCATTTTTTTAAATACTGAATTATTTCCCTTTAATTGTTTTGAGGCATTGAAAATAAAGTTTTCTTAATATCACCCATTGGCAATAGCTGATATTATAAGAAGTCTACCAGTGAATTAAACAGAAATGATATTATCTGAACTGAAAGTCTGTTAATTTTGTAACATATAACAAGGAAGAGTTTTTCCACTTTGATAAGACGAATTTAAAAATATAAACTAACTAGGCATGCTGCCCAGCTTCGCTTAGGCTTTCGAAAACATTGAGAATTTGAATGCTTAATTAATTCGCCCGCGGGTCGGTCTACGACCTCAAGAGTTATGAAGAGGTTCCTCAATGGACATTTTTTTTCGATTTATAGCTCATATAAGGCACCGGTCAGTCGAGGTCAGTTTTGACCCCCTCATCGTAGACTTTTCGGCCAACCGGCCCCCGTGTTCTGTCGACCCAAGGCAAGATCCTGCCAAATTTGAAGCGCCTGCGGCGCCGGGAAGTGCCCTATCGGACACCCAACAATCTAGATCTAGAATCCTAATAGAATTTTTTTTTTTAAGTTTAGCCCGAGCATAATAACAAAAAATACATTGACCATGTTGACTTGGTGTGTCTCGAACCCGCACCACCTGCGTGGTTTATAGTACACTAACATCTCCGCTATTTAGGCACCTTATAAATTACGGAGAATGAAACACGTATTTTAAAATCTTAACTTACGCGAATATGTCTATTCTTTCAAATTACTTTTTTTATCCCAAATTAGCCAGTTCCAAACAAAGATTTTGTATAAAATAAATAAGAATTGAAATAGTTTAGTCCTAATATAGAAATTTATTTTTGGAATAGATTTTAGAAAAGTTAGAGTCTAAATCTAGATCTTAGCGTCTACATCTAGTTATTGCGTAGATTTAGATTTAGTCTAGATCTAGAATCTCTAGATCTAGAATCCAAATAAATAAAATAAATTTTATGAGTTCAGGCCGGAAAAACTGTATTGTATACATTTCATAGTGTACGTAGATCTAAATCAAATTTGAATGAAATAGTTCATTTCTTTTTATTGTAAACACGGCAGATGACTTTTTTTTTAACAATAATAGGCATTTATTACAAAGAAAAATATTCATTAGTGAAATGAGAAATCTGTACAATGGATGGACACCATCTACCTCCGCCGCCTGTCATCTTTCCTTGACCTGTCTTTTCTTGGACCTCGAACAAAAGCCCAATCCACATTTATTTTCTGACCCAAAATTTCTTTGCCATTTAGATCATCCATTGCACCCTGAGCTTCTTTAAATGTTTCATACTCAACTAAAGCATAACCCTTGAGAAAGCCTGTGCGTCTGTCAAGATTTAAGTGTAAGTTTTTAATTTCCCCATATTCTCCAAATTTTTCATAAATATCATCTTCCTGTGATTCTTCATGTACACCAGTGACAAAAAGGATCCACCCTTCAACAGATCTTTGTGGTCCAGGCCCTTCAGACTCATCGTAATCCACTTCCATACCCTCATAATGATCAACACCACTTCGTGTTGGTCCCTCTCCACCGAAGCCTCTGCCTTTGCGTTTCTTTGCTTTTTCTTTCAACTTTTGAAGACCTTGATCGCCTTCCTCGTCAATTTCAAAGTCTTCTTCATCTTCCTTAGTCACAAGTAAAACGTCAGCCATTTTGACGTCACAGTTTTATTCTTCCTTTTTCATATCAATAAATGCTTTTCCGGTTGCATAAATAATACTGTTTCTCTATATTCGAATACGCCTTTATTTTTTATTTTTCTTCTTTAAATAAAATTGTGGTTATACATTTAAAACATCTAACATATTATTTTCAACAAAAGTCCGTAAAAAGTTCTCGATATATCGCTGTAGATTCTGATGTGATGTCCGGCGAAAATATTTTGCGGACAGACAGAGAGAGAGAGAGAGAGAGAGGTGCGAACGTGGCCCATTATAGATTTAGATTGAATAATGCCACCCTACGTCATATATGGTAGCTAACGAATGCATGTATTGTTATATAGATCCTATTAGTTTATAACTTTAACGATACGTTATGTTTTTAAAGAGGACAAAGTACATAATTATGCAAGCATTACAAACAAAAGCTAAGTTTAGTTGTGAACTTTAACCTTTCTCTTTCTACGCAACTAAAACTCCCATCTCTAAATCTTAACATTACTTGAGCACGCACGGCAAGATCGATAGTGTGGGGAAAGTAAACCCTTAATGTAAGGGTTCGTGTCCTGACCTTCTTTTAAATGTTTCTTATTTTTATATAATTATAAAAAAGTATTCTGTTGGTATTTTTCTGTAAATCGGTCTGTCTGTATGTTGACCGTTTTGAATTTGCAATTTTCTTTTTAAATTTGAAGAAAATAAAAATCTTATCACAGCCACAAGTCACGTGACCATAAAGATTACGTTAATCCAATAATCTGGGTGCTCGGTCAACTGTCAACATAAGCCCACCTATCATACAACTCAAAACAAGTATTCCATCTTTTTTCTCTAATAACGAAATAAAGTTAAGTTATTTAAAAAATACATATCTTATGCATATTACAAAGCAATACAAAAATCAACTACCTATTAAATATATCGTACGTGAATTATCTAAAACAGAAACAATAAATAAAATCCCTCTTTTATTTTGATTTATTATGGTTTTCTTTTAACGAGACTTAATTAGCTCTTGAGTTAACGGTAATCTTAAAGTTAACAAACAACTAAATATAAATCTTATGACTCCAATGCCCATGTACTAAGTAAAAAGCTGCTCTATTTTCTAGCTACATACACTCAAAACAAAAGGCTTAGGCCTACATAACAATCCTACGATAGCGTGACGGGCAGGTGTTATGATTAGTATCGCAGGTATTGATCGGCCAGGTGTAATACAAGAACAACGCCTGAACTATGGGCTTAATCGGATCTTCATGACATCCGCGCGTGCAGACGGTCATGTGTGCGCTTGTGTCACTGAATAGTACACACGTTATGATGACGTCATTGGAAGTGTCGTGTGTGCGTTGGTGTCACCAAATAGTACACACGTTATGATTACGTCATTGGAAGATGTAATTTGTTGTACATTGAGCAGTGGCGGAGCTATATAATATAATAATTATTTTTATTAATATAATAATATTTTTTTTTGTGGCGGCTTATAATCTTTTCAATTCATAATGAGCAGTGAGCTAATACATGATTCAGGCACCGACTGCTTGTTCCTTTTTAAATGCAGTTATATAAAAGAAACTTTTTTTTAAGCGTAAAGGGTCTTAATAGTCCACTGTTCAAAATATTTAAAAAATAATAGTTGTTTCCCCTTATAATTTAAATACCTTTAGTTTTAGGAATTGATATAAACAAACAGACACATTTTGGCATTCTAATCAATGACAGAAATAATGGTCTATGCAAGGACACGTTATTATCCATGTCTCTGACAATTGGCCAATGTCGTTATATGTTTTAGGGTCTTCAAAAATCAATTCGAGATAACGTGCCTTTCTTGCACAACCATCAATTAAACATGTTTAAATATACTATGAAAATGGTGTCCATACGCGATTACACAAGGACTGTTCATCAAATATCAATAAAAGAAACGTTATCGTTTATAGAATGATAACTACAGGCCTACAAATTAAACCTGAATGAAAGTTTTCAAGACAGTGTGGGGTTGTTTTTTGTTTTTTTATGCGATGAGAGACAGGCGACACGGCGAGTTAACCTCTCCCCTACGACCCCTCCCTATCTCAGCCAACAGCTATCTCCTGAGAACATTTTTCTACCGTGTGTACTATTTGTTCGCGAGCAAATCTTAAAACGAGCGGGTTGCTGAGTGGGAATACTGGCGTCAGAACGAGCGGCGAGGATCGCAAATCACTTCTTTAATTGAAACAGAAATTGTACGTTTAAATTTTTTTTTTTTTAAATTTGTGTGTGTGCATTTATTTCGGTTTTCTTATTTCAATATAACATTAGTCACTTGCTAACACGGCAAACACATAAAATAATAAAATAAAGGAGGTGGGAAGGGGTGGTCAAAGGTGAATGCAAACCTATTTAAAAAGTCTCTGTCCAGCAAAGGGGAGTAAATATAACATGTTTGGAAGCTTAAATCAGTTGCGTCCCTTGTTCACAGAGGCCCATCAAGTTCAGCAGTTCAATATTGCCCCAGCGCTTACCGGCAGTCATCTTTTCGTGTCCGCTATATGTCTAGTCTTCGTCTATTTACAGGTAGCCTCGTGTCATCTGTCGGGATAATCATTTGTAAGGTTGGACGTCGTGCAGTGGCGTAGGCAGGGGGGGGGTCACAACCCACCCCCATAGACCCCTCGGTATATATATAAAGTATGAGGGGGGGGGTGCAAATCGAAAGTTTGGGGGGGGGGGTGCAAATCAAAAGTCTGAGGGGGGGGGGGGGGAAGGGGGGGTGGTGCAAATCGAAAGTTTGTCCCCGGGTAAAAATTGGAACCCCACCTCCCTTAGAGACGATCCTGGCTACGCCACTGACGTCGTGCGTCTAAAGTCTAGACTATGCGGACTTTTTAAGACCAGCTTCTCCAGTGCGTTTTTAGCAGGGCTTCTAATAACAAATAAGCCAAGCGAAAATGTTTAATGTCGGTATATAGATTTTTACAAATGCATCGACTTTTTTTGTTTTAAACGTGGTTAAGGAGAAGTAAAATAATTTTAGATAAGAGGGAGAAAAAAAAACGAATGCTTTAGTCCAAGTGCTTCTAATAACAAACCAATTTCATGTTTTTCATGTCAATATACAGTGGCGTAGGCAGGGGGGGGGGGGTTAGGAGTGGTCATAACCCCCCACCATAGACCCCTCGGTATATATATAAAAAGTATGAGGGGGTGCAAATCGAAAG